GGGAGGGCGAGCCCCTGGTCCGGGGTGAGGGCAAGTCCCAGGGGGGAGCTGAGATGGGGACAGTGCTGCTGTTACCCGTCTCAGCCCACCACTGTCCTGCCCAGCCACCGTCTCCTTCCACCACCATCCTCTGTCATCGTTGCCGTCCCACTGCCATCTCATCCCAGCACCATCCCATCCATCATCCTGCCCCATCAGTCCCATCCCACCACAGTCCCACACAGCCATCATCTCCTCCCACTGCTGTCATCCCCATCCCACCCTCCCACCAGCCTGTCCTGTCACTGTCCCATCCTATCCTGCCATCCCACCACCTTCCCCACCATCCTGCCTTGTCACTGTCCTCTCCCACCACCATCCCATCCCACCACCATGGTCTCTTTCTGCCATGGGAGGGACCAGAGGCCACACCCAGGCCACCCATGTCCCCATCTGCTCGGGACCCCCACCCTGTGCCACCAGGCTCTGCCCCACGGGATCCTGCTGCCCCTGTTCCCTCCGTGTCCACCCAACACCACCATCCCTGTTCTTTTGGGGGTGGGAACTGCGTGCTCCATGTCCCCCCAATCCTGACCCATGTCCCCTTTTGTGTCCCTGCAGGACAGGGGGGGCTGGCACTGCCCCCCGAGCCAGCGGTGCCTCCAAGCTGCCATAGGAGCCAGGGGGCCCCTGTCCCCCCACCCTCATCCCCCTTTGGATTTTAACTCGTGTTTCTAAACGTTTTCTACGTGGTGAGGATGAAGAGGGGTCATTGGGGCCAGGCTGGCACAGAGGGGGGCCATGGGGATCCCCCCCGGGTGCCAGGCTGGGCAGGGAGCTGCTGCCTGCACCTGCCTGCACGTCCTGCCTGCTCCTTAGAGGCATTAATATATTAAACACACAAAATCCCCCCTGCCTCCGCCTCCTGCCTCAGTTTCCCCCTTGCCAGGAGCCACAGGTGCAGTTTCTCCTAGAAACCGTTTATTGGGGTGGTGGCACGCGGGGTGGGTGCTGGTGCTGGTGGTGTCCCCAGTGCCATCAGAGCAGGTCCCAGCGCTGGGGGCTGCACCCCCAGCCCCCTCCAGTGC